GTGTTGATGGCTTGTGAGCAGGGCTCTTGTCCGGTTGGCATGGACTGGGGCATTTGTAGCCTCATTAGATCTGTTTGCTGGGCCAGCAGACGAGGCACTGCTGATTAGCTCTGCCCATATCCCACCCCACAGCCTCCTGTCAGCCCCATATCCCACCCGTTAGCCCCATATCCCATCCATGCACCCCCCAGCCCCCCTATCCTCTCACCTACCTCGCAGCCCAGCAGACAGCCCGGGGGGGTTAGGAGGGTGCTGATGGTCTCAAGCCACATCCAAGACAGATCCTATTGCTACAGAGCGCAGTGACCAACAAGCCACAGCAGCGTTCTGCAACCCCAAAACTGGGGGCTGGGACTTCCCTGCTTTGTATGCAGCTCCCTAAAAACCACACAGTAACTGCGGGGAAAATTAAAAAAGAAAAAGGCAGGGAGGAAGAAGCAATTAGCTGAATTTGGGATTTAATAACAGGCTTGATTAGAGCAGATAACAGCACGCCCTGAGGGCACGATTAAGCCTCAATTGGCCCAACGTAATTTCGGCAAATAAATATTAAGGGAAGTTGTAGGCAAAGTGGAGCTGGGCTGGCAGTGAGACAGAGAGGCTCGACGAGCGCTGGCAGCACGGCGTGGGGGTGGAAAAGCATGGGTGGGCAGGTGGGAGAGGTTAGGCGGGAGGCCCAGCAGGAGCTGGGCATCAGCTGGGGCGGGATTTTCGGGAAAGCATCCCTGGGACGGGCTGCGGGATCGCGGCTGGGAGCAGAGCCTCATTAATGGCTTTTCACTAGATGGCACCAGACACCAGCGCTAATGAGGGTGCGCTGGGCTGGGGGGACCCCGCTCTCCCGGGCACCACGAGGCGGCGGACCCGGCCCGGGGGCGAGCAGAGCATCCTCAGCCGGGAGCTGGGGATGGACGGCCGGAGCTTGGCGTCAGGCTGAAAGCATTGCATCACCTGGTAGGGGACAAGCGCTGCTTGGCAGGGCACAAGGTGTCCCTTGGGTGCTCTGTGCACCCTGCTAAGGCTGCAGCTTGCCCCGCGGCGCGCCCAGAGCCAGGGGACCGGGGGCCGCTGGCCACCCTCCTTGCCCTCCCTGGGTAAAACAAAGCGGAGAGCCCTGGCCTGGCTGGGGAAATCGCAGCGTCAGCCCGCAGCGTCCTCGGTGCTGTACAGCTCAGGCCTCGCTGGGGAGGAGACCCACAAAGTGCTTTTCAGGGAGGAGAGTATAAGCAGCATGGGGTGGGGACGGCTCTGTGGGACCCTGGGGCAGTGGGTGCTGCACACATGGCAGTGGTCTTGCACACAGAAATGCCACACTCTGTGTCATTCCGTGGGAATTTGCAAAAGCAGCAGATTTTAGACTTTTCCCCTATGGACTTGCTATGTATAAAGCACTATCAAAAGTCCTTCAGATGGTTTTCTTTCCCCCTCAGCTTCTCTGCAGATGAATCCAAGCCTCCTTGGCCACCAAGGATTGGTGTTTTCTCCTGTCTTGGAGGTGCAGCCCCAAGTACCACCTTGGCCAGATCCTGGCACCAGCTGGGAGCACAGCACTGTCCTCTTCAGCCCCAGCAGCAGCTGAATACCAAAGGATTGCTTAAAAATTAATCCAGTGCTTGTATTTCTCATTAAAAGTGCTAAATTGTTGGTGCACAGCCCAGAAAGTCTATTTGGATTGGCTAAGTACTCTCCCAGCTGTTTAATAAAAGCTCTTCACAAAGAGCTAAATGCAGCCACAGAGTAATTAGAGAAACTGGACAATAATTAACAGATATCCAGTAAGTTAAGGTCCGGTTAACATGGCACGGAGAATCATAGGAAGTGAAGTCTGAGCAGGAAAGGGCACAGTGAGATGCCCATCATGCCCTGGATGGAAAGTGGGGGCTCCAGGGACTGGGGCAGGGTGATGACGGGGGGCTCAGGGGCTGCATGGCACATAGGGGCAATGCCTCGGCTTTTGCTGCTCCTTGTCCTGCCCAGTTGCAAAATTGGGGGCTGCCCCAGCCTGCCCTTCACCAGAGCACAGGGTGTTTGGCTGTTGGGGGTCTTCCCCTCCCAGCGCATTCCCAGCACAGTTTGGGTTCCTGCCAGCCCCAGAAATCCCAAGGAAAGGCTCCAGGAACCTGTTGCACAAGGTGAGGAAGACATTGACCCATTGGTGGGAAATGGAGTAATTTCCTATTGCCCCAGAGCACCTAAAGAAAACAGCTTTGCCCGGGGAGGGGGGGCGTACAACGTCCTTGGGAGGGAGGAACTGATGGACCCTGAAGGCTGGCGAGATCTTTGCCATCTGAGCAAGGGCTACAGCCCCTAATCCCCACAGCCATCAAGAGTTCAGGCTCAGTCAAGCTGTCTTTGTGCTGCATGGTGCCTTTTGGCTGATGACAGGTCTGTAAGGAGTAAATTATCCTACCCTGGTGAGGCCAGCCACTTTCTTCCAGCACCAGCCTGCTTCCTACATGGCAGCAACCACCCAGAGAAGATGCTGGGGTTCAGGTGACCCTCACAGAGCTTGGGAAAGACTCACCCTCAGCTAAGCCAAAGCTCCTTTCCCCACACTAGCTTATGCCACCAGTGGGGCAGGAGCCAGGAGGGTTTGGGGCTGGGGCAGGGTTTCTTTGGGAAAACCTCAATGGATCATCCTTGGGAAGCCACAGGTAGCCCCCTGCTGATCTGGATCATGCTATAAGGTTTGGTTTGCAGGTCCATATGGAAACAAGGTACAGAGGGAAACCCATATAATGGACCCCCAGAAGGGAACACAACATGATCACCGTGATGATTTCTCCGGGAGAAGCATGCCTGGGGCAGGTTTTCTTTGGGAAAACCTCAATGGATCATCCTTGGGAAGCCACAGGTAGCCCCCTGCTGATCTGGATCATGCTATAAGGTTTGGTTTGCAGGTCCATATGGAAACAAGGTACAGAGGGAAACCCATATAATGGACCCCCAGAAGGGAACACAACATGATCACCGTGATGATTTCTCCGGGAGAAGCATGCCTGCCCAGGAGAAAGCAACTCCACCTCCAGCCTGCTTGGCAGATGAAGCCTTGGACCACCTCCCCTTGGCTTGTCCCTCAGCCCCAGGTATGGCTGCGGGGGCCAGTTGTGCAATGGAGTAATTTCTTTTTGAGCAATTGAACAATCCCATTTGCATCTTGTGCAAAAGTCTTCCGGAAAACATGACGCAACAGCAGAGAAAGATGGGACAAATATCAGCATCTGCCCAGCCCCATTCCCCACCCCCATCCTCCCCAAGGGTTTAAATGTCAGCATCCTCCAGCTCTCCACGCTCGCACCTCTCAGGCACACGGCAGCATGAAGACGGCGGCCGCCCTCCTCCTGGTAGGGATGCTCATCCTCTGGACAGAGCTGCCAACAGGTATGAGATGTCCCCGGACAAGGCACAGGGAGGAGAAGCACAGGGGCTGGGAAGGAGCCGTGTTTGCAGGGATCCTATGGCACAGGAGAGGAGAAGAGGGGGGTGTTTGCTGGGGAGCCTCTCCCCATGGCCCGCCAGCTGCCAACAGCCTGGAGCAAACAACTCCCTCCTCTTGCAGGCAGCGCCTGGACCTGCCCGCCCGTCCGCATCACCTGCGCGATGCTCAACCCGCCGAACCACTGCTACAGCGACCGGCATTGCCCGCGGTACAAGAAGTGCTGCCAGTCCTTCTGCGGGAGGAGATGCATCTCGCGCCCACCTTCCCTCCCTCTCTCCTACGGTAGGGTCTCGAGAGCCCCCCGTGCACCCACCTCCCCGGGTAGCAGAGGGGGATACGGTGACGGTGGCTGAGGGCAGGACGCTGTGCCCAGCTGCCAGAGCCCTCCGCTGTCAGGCTGGTGGGGTGACTGATGGCCAAACATGTGGGCTGAGGTTGCTCTGACCACCAGACCCAACCTGTTGCTTTCTCTCCCTTTCCCCAGCGTGAGCTCCTGCTCTCTGCATCCCCGTGGCACAGGCCAGCTGCCCATACCTCTGCTAAGGCTTGTCCTGCCCAATGTGGGCTCCCAGGAGGTGAGGAAGAGCCACCAGCTCATGCTCAGAGACCACCTCAGCTCCAGGACCACCCCGCTGACAGCTGCCATGTGGTGCTACGTGCTGCCTGCTCACCCTCTCCCCCGCCTTCCCCATTTTAACAAATAAAAGAGCTTGTCCCAGGGATGCTTGTGATGTGCGACTCCTTTCCCCACCTCCTCCCGCCTCTCTCCAGGCCCACCCTGGCACATACTCCCAACTGCTGCTTTCATCCCAGAATTTCTGCCGGGGGAAGAGGAGGAAAGCCACACAGAGTGTGGTTAGGGGCTGGCTCTGGGGAGCAAATCCTTCCAGAGGCATACAAACCCCAGGAGGAGAGGGCAATGGGACGGGGCCGGACACAGCAGGACACTCTCGGGGACTCTGGCAGGCTGCGCGGGGCCCTGCAGAGCAGCGTGTGCCCCCAGGCACACCCCAAGACAGGCAGGGCTGTGGAAGGGGACTGACCCTGCCTGCCCGGGGGGGTACGGCAGGCAGAGCCTCCCTGTGGGTACCCCACGTAGGGCACATCTGGAGGGCAGAGGAGGAAGGTTATGTAGACTCAAACCCCAAGTGGTGCTGAGCGCCTCACTGAACCTGAGCTGGGGTGGAAAATTCAGCTGAAGAAAATTGCCTGGGAAAACCTCAAGCCAGGGCACAAAACCACAGCTCTAAGGGGTACTTGTAATTTTTGTATAGCTGAGTACCGGGGCAAAAAATTCAGGAAATACTGAGAAACACCAGCAGGAGAGAGAGTGCGCAGCCTGAAGGACCTGCCCGGTGCCAGAGCAGAGCCAGGCATCGTGCCCACGTGCTGCAGGGGAAGAGCACAGCAAACAGTGCCAGCCCCACGGCAGATGCCAGGCTTGCATGTCCCATCATCATGTTCTCAAACAGACCCGACCCAGACTGGGAGAGGAGCCTGGTCTGCCTGCATACACTAGAGAGAACAGAGAGGAAAATGAGCGAATGCTGGACAACAGGAGGAAAGGAGCCTTTGGGTGGCTGGCTGGGAGGGAGGGAGGAGGCACTTTGCCTCCATCTCCTTTGACCCACAGGCAGACCCCGCAAACAGCCCAGCTCCCGGCCCCTCGCACCTCCCTGCCCGGGAGGGAGATCCTGCAGGCACTGCCTGAAAGGTGCCGGAGCTGCTGCTGCCCAAGGGCTGAGCTAATGCTCCCCATGGCCAGGCACGAGCAAGGCAACATGGAGAGCAGCATGAACTGGCCAGACATTTAAACCACCCACAAATACAGCAGGATGAAACCTCTGGCTGTGGGACTGACATCTCACATGGCCCGAGGCAGACCCTGGAAGCTCCCTGGCCAAGGCTGGGGAGAGCATCTACTAGAGCGAGTCCTTCCATGGTCACCCCTACGGAGGAACTGGAGGGAGGGAGGCACGGACTCAGAAGGAAGAAGTCCTACGATGAAAGGCCACCTCTGCTTAGCTCAGCCAAGGGAGAACACAGAGAACTGGAGAGCTCATGCAGTGCCAGGGCAGGCTGGAAACACCAGGCGATCACGCAGCGACAGGCAGAACAAGGGCTGGGAGCTCGTCAGCCAAATTCAGTGTAAAAACAAGACATTGCTTCTGACCAGTGCAGTATCCTACTGAGGGAAAAAATATCTCTGCCATCCTTACACCAGCCTACCCCTCTGAGTGGGAAGCACTGTGCCACACGAGCCATGGGGTGACAGAGGCAGAGCCCCAGCGCTCCCCAGCCGTCCCTGCACCGAGGCAGCCGGGGCTGGCACAGCGGCCAAGGGCAGAGAAGCCCTATTCCACCTCCAGCCGGCCATGAGTCACAGATCACAGCCCTCCCTCCTCCATCAGGACCAGCTATTATCAGCTATTAAGCAGGCATTTCCATACAGCTGGCTAATTTGATAATGCTGCAATTATCTTGGTTTGTTAACAAGATTAAATTGCTAATTGGTTTGATTAAGCATAGAGCTCCAGGCATTGGGTGCCTCTCAGCTTGTAGGACTCATGGCCCTGCACAGCCTGATGGTTGCCATGCCCAGTGCAGCAGCTCCTCTGCTGAGACAAGGGCAAAGCAGGAGCCCAGGAGGGGTTTATCCTCCCAAAAACTGCTGCCTGGGGCCTCAAGATCTCCATGTGATGGCCTGGATAGGACCCTCCTCCTGCCCTGAGACAGAACCAGCTTTGCCCATGCCACTGCTGTCACCCAGCTGCTGGCCCAGGCAGGCAGGAGCAGATGGCTTTGGGTCCAGAGGATGCTATGGGGACATCTGGTCTGGCCTGGTCCTGCTTCTTTCTGTTGGGAGCACTGCAGGTCATAAATCCCTGAGGCAACGCACCAGCTGCGTACATCCACCTGCAGCTGCATCAGCAAGTCCTCTGCCCTCCTCTCCCCAGACACAGGGTCCTACCACCATGCATAGCATTTCCAGCAACACCCAGCTCACCACCGCAGCTGTACTGGGGAGCTCACATCACTGTGGACCAGACTCACCTGTATCCCCCCATGCAGTCAGCACCCACCAGGGAGGAGCTGGGCAATGCACAAACACATGCACAGGGCAGGATCACCCCCTGTGGTAAGCTCCTGGCAGCGTGCTTTGACTGAAAAGCCTTTGGATCCAGGTCTCTGGGGAGGAAGGGAATTCCCCTCTGTGTCCTAGGTACGTGCCAGCAAGACAGCAGGAAAAGCAGCGAGTCCTGTGCCAGAGAGATATTTCCATGCTGGTTCTTCCCACGTCATCTGCTTCCCCAGGGCTAGAGCAGCCTGGAGATGGAGGGGTTCATTTTCTCTGCCTGGTGGCTTATGACAGCTCAGGACCTGCTGCTGTGGGACCTTCTCCTGGGACAAGCCCACCAGGTCTGCTGCTGGGAACATAGACAAACGCTGCACTCAGCTTTGGGTTAGAAACCTCCATCATGGCAGGTCACAGCAGCAGTGCCTTTGCAGGGCAGGGATCTGTTCAGCTCCTTTTGCATGTGGTGGGTCTGGCTTACTCCATCTTCCTTCAAAGCAGGGGTTTTGGGGCCAGTCACCCTTGGACCAATCCCGAAGGAAACATCCGACACTGCCCGACATCTCAGGGATGGGATCCAGAGTGGCTCCCGGGGAAGCCATCAGCACCAGGGAGCCAGCCTTGCTCCACACAGAAATGCACTTCGGTCCACCCCAAGATAGAGACAGGGCAGGGGACGGAGAACTAAGGTCTCACCCACAGCACACCCCTTGCACATCTGAACGTCTTTTTAATATTTTCTTGGAGCCTTCTCCCTGCATGTTTTATGCTCTGGCTCAGGAGACTGGGTGATTGGGGTCTGAACACAGAACAGGTCGGTGCTCAAGAGTGATGCAAGACCTTTTCAAGACATGATTCAAACCAGCCTAATAAGAATTGCTACAGCTTTGAAAAGGGAGGGTTATTTAACTAGCCTGGCCCAGGAGTGGGAAGCTGTAGTTGCAGCAGGAAGCAGCAATCACATCAGATCCAGAGGAGAAAATACCCCAGGCTGAGCAGATCCACTCGGCAGCGGCTCTGCCCCTGGTCAGGTGCTACACACAGCCCTCATCTCTTCTGCAGAGAAGCAGCAGTATTTCAGGTGGGAAAAGGAGTCAATATCGTTCTGGTCCCCGCCGTAAAAGAAATGTATATATACCTCCGCAGAAACATAAACCATCCTCACACTGCTGAAGGTCAACAGATGTATGAATTCACTCTGTTCTTTCTTCTGTGGGATGATTTATATGAACTCAGCGCCTCACCTGGACCAAGTCACTCTCCAGCTGCAGGGAGAGGGTGGTCAGGGCCAGAGTGGTCTCACACCAGCTGATGCCCTTCAGCATTTTCTTTCTGAAGACACAGGGATGCCTTTTTCCTGCTCGGGAATCTCACCATGAACATGCCCTGGCTTGCCTGGCCAGGATGCAGCGGTAACGCTTCCCGGTGCCCTCCCACCTCCCCAAACACAGCGAGGGGGAAGGCAGGGCACCAGCTCCCACTGTGCTGGGAGAGCAGAAGGGGAGCCACATCCCGGGACTGCACGGCAGAGGGAGGCTGCGTCTGCCACCGGGAAGCCTTTGGGACAGCCGGGGTGGAAGTCGTCCCTTCGGTCTGGCTCCAGCACATCACCCCGGCTGTGCACCGCACCCAGCCCTCTGCGTGGCGGGGAGCCCCAGAGCAGCGGGGTCTGGCAAGGGATGGGACCGTGGCTGAGGGATGCCAGAGCAGCCTGCTGCGATTTCTCTCCTGCCTACAGTGCTGCCAAGGCTTCAAGCTGCTTGTGACGGAGCCCTTCGGTCTGGCGCAGAAACGGCTCTGCATGCCCCATGACGGCCAAGAGGCAGCAGAGCTGTGCCAAGCCGCTTGGCTCCATCCCCGCTTCATCCCACCAGGAATCCTCACCAGGCTGCTCTCTGCTGCAGCCACACAAGGTTGCACATCCAGGAAGCCTGTCAGATGCTGGCAGGACCTCCCTGAGCCAGGGAACCAAAAGGAAAGGAAAGCAAAAAACCGAGGCGCTGGCAGCACCCTGTAGCTGGGGGAGATCCCTGCATGCCAGCAGTCCCTTGCCCCCACACAGAAAGCGAGCAGAGGAGACAGAAACCTCTTTCCTCTGCAGTAAGCCACGCCGCATGAAGGCATGTGGGGAGAGCTCAGCAGGAGGCTGGGCAGCGGTGCAGGCAGGGCAGCGGTGCAGGCAGGGCTGGGGCTGCCAGGCTCCCTCTCCCATGGCCTCTGCAGCCTCAGCTCCAGGGGGCCCTCTCCAGCCTCAGCTCCAGGGCCAGACCCACAGTTCCTCAGACAGGCTGATGTCTGCGTTCAGCCACGCAGCCGGGATGTTACACAAATAACAGCCCTGGCACAGGCTGGCGAAGCACTTGAAGACTCGCACGGAGCAGTTTGCAGAGAGCAAAGCACCTCCCGTAGGCACCTGCCCTGCAACAGCCCCTGCTCAGGGGCTGAACTGCAGCACAGATCCCAACTCGTGGCCCACAGCCATGCTCTGGGCAAGATCAGGGTCATACACTCACCATCACCCCCAAATCCATCAGCACAGGCACCAGGGTACCTCCACACTCCCTCCCAAATGGGAGCACTCACCTGCAGCAAGACCCTCCCAGCTGAAACCAGTGCCACCCCACAGCAAAGCACTGGGGAAGAGGAGGGTGGGCTTATTTATGCTATAGGGCAACCCAGGTGAGCTCCTGCCACTCCCTGGCTCCAGCTGCGGAGGCAAAGCCATTTCCCAACTCCTTGCTGTCCCGGCACCAGCTCCCCGTTAGTGCCGGTGGCATCGCACGGAGGAATTCCTGCGTCTCCAGCCCTGCCTGTGCTGAGGCCCCCACAGAGGCTCCTTTCCCCGACAGCTATGTAGGTTAATAACATGCAATGTGGTGGCAAGACACAGGGAACCGCAAAGCTATGTCAACATTTAGCTTTTACACATTTGTCTAATTACAGAGCAACCTGTGATTCCCTCCGATGGAGGCACGGCGGCTTCGCCCCTCTCCCTCCCCTTCTGGATGTTCCGGCTTCGGATGGGATAAACGTCAGCTCATTATTTCTGGAGTTTGCTGGTTGCAAACGGTCTGTCCCAAAATGCTATTCCCAGGCACTGGATGTCAGAAATCATTATACTAAAAAAAGCTTCATGAATGATTCATGAAGCTGGGTTTCACAGTAATCGGGGAGAGATGGGCAAAGGCAGCGCGGACCGCTGTGTCGTGTTCTTGCACAGGCAGGCAAAGGGAGCAAGGCACAAACCAGAGATACAGTGCAAACCAGAGAAACACGCTGGTCCCAACACGATTGGAGCCTGACCGAGCGGAGACCAAAAGCAGGCAGTGGGCCCAAATACCTTTCAGCTTCAGGAGCTCCTGTGACTTGATGACGTTCGTGAGCCCGGGGGCAGCCTGCTGCTGCTCCGAGCAGCCTCAGAGATGCTCTGAGGTCTACATTAGCCCGGTCTCCGGCACGGGGCTGGGCCAGCGCTCGGGACTCACGCACTGACTCCCTGGCTCTGTGCGCTGTGGCCACTAAAATTAGAAAAACGTTTTTCTGAAATGTCATCGGGAAGCTCCTTCCAGGGCCCAGGCAAACGGGGCTTCAGCCTGGATGCCACGCTGCATCCCAGCATGGGCTGTCCACCAACGGGTATTTTCTTGGGATGCAAATGCTTCTTCCACTGCTCTGAGACTTTGGAAAGAAGGTAGGTATGTCCTCTCTTTGTACCTGAATCTACCTAAAAAGGCAAGCCCTGAACTCTGTAAATCAATGAAAGAGTGAGGGGTGCCCTCAACATGGCAACATTGGTGGAAGGAGGCGATGAGGAGTGGGATCCTGTGTGTATTTTGCAGGAGCCAGTGCCCCTGCCTCTCCCAACCAGCCCGGCTCAGCCAGCGAGCTCTCGCCCTTGGGTCTGCCCCGGCATCCCTGGCTGCTCCTCTGCCACTTGCTCAAAGACTCCTGGGAAAAAAACCGCAAAACTACAAAAATACGGTGACAAGCAGCCAGACCAGCTGTACAGCAGGGAAAAGTCCACAGCTGGCATTGCAAAACCTGGGCTCTGACATGAAGACAGCGGCGATTCTCCGTGCAGCAGCGGGGGAGCCGTCAGACAACCCT